CTCTCACACACACACACACACACACACACTCTCTCTCACACACACACTCTCACACACACACACACACACGGACGGACGTTTCACAGGAGAGTTTTGAAATGTGAATTCCATCAGAAAAATCATGAGAAAAATACTTGCTGTGCCATATGCATCGTGTACAATAATATAGTAATTGTTGTTTTAATGATGTGGAAGCTGACATTCAACTCACTTTGCAAAAACCATATGCCTTAACCATATTGCACACTTAGTAGAATGCAGTTATAGTGACCCTGAAATTCAGTATATTTGGGGTAAAATTACTTACATATGAGTTTTTGTCATGTATTTCTATGCTATAGTTTAGCAGTTTTACATTTTAGACACAATATTGTATGTTTTTGCACTATTTCGCCAACAGAAATAGTGAGCGACAAAGTGGTTTTGTTCCTGAATGAATCAGTGTTTTTGAATGACTCAGTGATTCAACGATCCATTCCTAAAGAGTCATTTGCCTTGTTCCTGAGTGAAGCTGTTCGAATGAAATCGGTTGAATGAATGATTCAATGACTCATTAAAAAGTGAATTCAAATAAGATCATTAAATAAAATGGCTGCACAGCGTACAACTAAAAATGAGCAATTAGCAAAGTTTATTTTAAATTGAAATAAATTATATTAATTAGTAACATGAATTCAATTACTCACATTTTACTAATTAATATAATTTAAATATATTTTAAATAAATTTTAAATATTTATTTTAAATAAATTTTAAATATTTATTTAAATGAATTAAAAATTTAAATCAATTATATTAATTAGTAACATGAATTCAATGACTCACATTTGACTAATTATTATAATATGTTTAAATGTATTTGAAATCAATTAAAAATATTTAATATTATTAGTTATTATTTAATTTAATTTTTTTATTTAAATATTTTTAATATATTTTATTTATATTAGTAACATGACACTGCAATTAATATATATATATATATATATTATTGTAATTGCAGTGTAAATGCTGCTTCAGACGTTGCTTCTGTGCAAAAATGGATTTTGTTGCCACTGTTTTCATTTGATTGGTAACAGCCTATAGTGTCTAATTATTCAAATTAAATTTATTGATTAAATGTAAGAATTTGACATAAAAGATGATGCATACATCTAGTAAGATTAGAAAAACTGTCCTTATGAAGGTAAAAAATTAGATGTATTCCTCATATGAAGTGATCCAAGTAATCAGATGCACATCTTCACCTGCTGGAGCAGAAAACAGGCGACGATCCCCGAGTGTTTGTGACGAGCGTCAGCGTCTGGCTAATATAGAGCAGCAGCGCTCTCTTCCTGTTAGCCTGAGGCCGGCCAGCTTATCTAACACTCTCTCTCTCACACATACACTCACACACACACTCTCTAACACTCTCACACTCACACACACACACTCTCACACTCACACACACACTCTCACTCACACACTCACACTCACACGCTGTGTCTCCGTCTCTGTCTGGTGTGCGGTTACACACTCACTTTAAGCATCAACACTTTCTATAAATCACTGGATGTTTTTGGGAGCAGATGCATTTTTAGATGAAAGTGACAGAAACGACCCGAAACAAAGAACAAAATCGCTCGTTTTGATGCCAAGAAATTCGATTATGCCGTGGAGCACATTACCCAGAAGTCTTAGTGTAACGAGGCCACGCCCCCTCAGACAGAGCAGCGCCGCGAGTCCCGCCGAGGTGTATCTATCACGCCGATGACATCATCAGTGTGAGACAGACTAATGCAATGAGAATGAGATGAGCGTCTGTCTGTCTGTGTGCTAAACCTACATAGACAGCTTTTAACATCAACATCAGAGTTAACTCTAGTGACTCTTGATTCATATTTCTGCACTTATTGTGAACCATTCATTCGTTATTCTACAGAAAAGTAAGGTTTGCGTAATCTTTCATTTAAATGTAATTATTATATAATCTTGTGCAATATGCTAAAGATGCACTACAGGAGTTTCTCTCGTGTGCTTCTCATAAGCAGTGATATTTTCTGTTGATTCACTCAAAATCAGTCACAACGAGGTTTCATGATGCTTAAGATGCGGAGTATGCAGATAATAGACAGCCAATCAGCTCAGTGGGGTTGATAACAAAGCAGATGACCTTTATTGTTCTTAAATCATTATTTTTATTTTAAATATATATTTTATTTGTAATAATGTATAAAAACTATATATTTTTAATTATGTAAAATATATTATTAAAATAAATAATAATAATTATAATAAATAATTGCAGTAAATGCAAATAGTAAGTATAATAACACAAACTTTTATTTTGGATGCGATTTGACAGCCCTAATATGTATATATATTACGTAGTTATATCTAACAAAAAAAATATTATATGAATTAATGATATATAATCTTATATTTTACACTACCGTTCAAAAGTTTGGCTTCTGAAAGAAGTCTCTTCTGCTCACCAAGGCTGCATTTATTTGATCAGAAATACTGTAAAATTGTGAAATATTATTAGAATTTAAAGCAGCAGTTTTCTATGTATATTTTTGTGGAAACCGTGATACATTTTATTTTTCAGGATTCACAGATGAATAGAAAGTTCAAAAGAACAGCATTTTCTTTTGTAACATCATAAATGTCTTTAATGTCACTTTTGATAAATGTAATGCTTCCTCGATTAATAAAAGTAATAATTTGTTAATAATAATAGGCCATGATTGTGTTATGCAGCATGTGCACAAGTCCCTGTGAACTTCATAAGTATTTTTTCAAACTTGCGAGGGCATTTTTCATCAGTGTTGTGCTCTAAGTCTGGTGTAGTTTCAGACACACACCTGCGGGCAGGTGATGGCTTTATTTCCCTGATGAGCGGCCGGTCTCGATCTATCACTGCTGTCCTGGAGGCGTGAGGGCTCTGAGTGCTGACCGCGGCCCCAGTAGAGCTCACCCGGGCTGGGGACGGAGCGAGCGGGACGCCCCTGACTCCCAGCGGCCGCCGGATGTGACTAATCTCCCCCGCGGTGAACTCTGACCCCAGGGGGTCAAACCGGCCCACGGTTCAGCGCACTGCATTATGGCATAAAAGTTATAATTGAGACAAAAAATGAGATACTAAGTCATAATTATGAGAAAAAGGTCAGAATGATGACATACTGATGACAAGTAATAATTATGACTTTTTTTGTCATTATTTTTACTTTATTTCAACTTGATCTCATAATTATGACTTTTTTGACATTATTTTTGATTTCAACTTGATCTAGTATATGCAGGACATGTCCCAAACACATCGGGACGGGAACGAAATTATTAAACAAAAGCAGAACAGAGTTTAGTCGTTTACGGTCGGGACTTGCCGTGTTAATGCAGAATACATAAAAGCGACAATTATTTCCTCAAAACTTAAAACTTATTTATTTAAGAGAAGTACGTTTTAAGATGTTGCATAATATCTTAAAATATATTGTTGTTATGGTATTATTATCCTAAATATAAAATATATTAAATAATCGTTTACTGATATATTCAGTTTATGAGTGTAAGTAAAGTTTACCTGATTTATTTTTGTGTAAATATATACAGTCTCTGGGAGAGTTTAAGTTTTTATTTGTCTGCCTTTATAATTTTAACATTTAATAATAATAATAATTAGTTAATTTTATATACATTTCAAATAATAGTCATGCTAATAAATCTTTCTGGTTGAAACTGATTTAACTGTTTTAAGAGCTTGTTTTTACTTCCTGAAATATTTAGCATTTCTAGCAAAATTTGAAGTATAGTGTAAGTAAAG